GGTACCGCTCTAATTGAAAAACACTATTTTAAAGACTGCAAAAACATTTGAAGACCACAACCATAAACACACAATCTGTGCTACAATTAAATGGTTTAGGTCAAAGAGTATTTATGTTAGAATCATATTTATGTGTACCAAGAAATCTTGCAGCAATATTTGAACATCTCTTTTAACACATTCTTTTAATCTGATGTTACTCATAAGATATTTTTACCTAAATATTATGTAAAAAAACAAAAACAGTCCTAAGCAAGTAAAATTATGCAAAAAAAAGTAGTGTGAGTGCTCTAAAGGTATTGATGGTGAATACTTCATGGAAAGATAAAATCATAAGCTTTAAAACACCTTTAAAACACCAAAACATCTCGTGTCTGAATTGAGGTAAAATTCTCTAGCATGGCAGTGCCGATTTACTATTAAAGAACACACAAAAAGATCCAAATTGTATTCAAGCTAAAAGTGGTCGAACTAGAGCAGCTTCTGAGTGATTGCTGGTCTGTTGGTGCACGGGCAAGTCGGTGTCTGCATGGCACGAATGTGCACACACTCATCGAGCTGTTGACCTCAGCAGGGCTTTATGCGGCTGCAGATAATGAGCTTTAACGTTCTATTTCATCTTTCTCAATAAGGAGGTGCGCTGCGGACACCGGAGGCCCTAAAGGTCAAACAAAGCAACTCAGTCTGAAAAGAGATAACACAATGCAGGCAAGCAGGTAATTATTGAGACAATCATAAATTGGAGGAGGCCTGATAGAGTTCCATTACTTTGGCTGAGTGGAGGGTAAATTTAGTGGTGAAGCAGAGGAACCATTAACACTGGGAGGGTGCTCTTCTCCCTTGAAGGCATATGGAGTTAGAGAAGGACCTGTCTGAACAAACAACTGCACCTAACTTAAGATATAATCATAATCTTTAAGTACATTATGTGAATAATTTAAACAGAATTACATTTGTTGATACTGACGAAGCACTCTAGCTTTTAGTTGAGTTCTATACTTGGTTCCTGTATTTTTATTAAAGCCACAATACGTAATACTCTCTGTCATGCATTTACATCAATTAATTTTGTGTAAATCCGTTCAAAAATTGTTTAGTCAAAATATTAACTTGGTGTTTCTGCAAAGACCAAATTATATAGAAAATGTTTTGCATTATTCACACATCTTTAACCTTTTTACCTTTCACCAGGTTAAGGGGAGTCTTACAACTGTTTCATTTCTGATACAAATATATATACTGTATATATATATATATTAGGGCTGCAACAACGAATCGATAAAAATCGACTTTTAAAAGCGTTGGCAACGAATTTCATCATCGATTAGTTGTGTCGCGCGATTAATGCGTCATCCACCGCCGTCGTCATTGCCGTGGGGCACCTCCCCCATCCCAAC